ATTAGCCCTACAGTTCGGACTCCCGTGGTTCTGAATCTAATTTCACAAGTGCAATATGAAATAGAAAAACACAAATGAGTCCAAATTCAACAAATCGTTTGAAAATTTGATGTTTGAATCAAATACAAAAAATGAACTACTTTGCCAGATTTCATAGTCGCCACCTAAATATTTTTAAAAAATTTAAGAAACCCGTGACTCATGCCAAAGGCCATTAGTCCATCATCACCAAAGTGTCTTGGCTCGGGAACTTAGGTATGAGAGGGGAAGCTCATGAATTGAGCATCCCACTCAACCAATCAAAGATCGACCTCTACTAATCATGATGTGATTCTTATTTACATTATATGCTCTTGTTTCGATTATTAGGCTAATTTACTATGTGTCACACACAATCATAGACTAATTTGCAAAAGTTAGAACTCTTTGATTTCATGTTTGTTTGAAATTTTTTTTAAATACGCGCCACTTGAAAAGGCAAGTTTGTATGTACATTAATCAATTCATCTCAATTTTAGCAATCAGCCTTCATCCTTAGGCATTCAAACATGTATATCACTTAAGCACTTAGCCTCATGGAAAATATGCTTTGATATGGTAACAATCACACACATGCAATATGCTAAAGCAAGAAATGCTTGCCTAGTACTCCAAGGCAGGCCAAAGAAGATGAAATAATTAGAAGAAATACATGCTCCTAAACAATGCGATATGACTAATGCAACGCACACATTATGCAAATAACAAGTTCGACTACTACCATGGCATGTGAACCAATTCAAGGCATGCGATAGAGCACGTATTCGAGCAATGATTTTGAAATTGACATTCATTAGAATGATGAGCCGAACCCTTATGTATGCAAGACGAATGGATGCAAGTCATGGAAAATGCTAAGTAAATATAATGCTACCATTATAAGCGGGTAAACAAAAGGGAGAAGGAAATGGGGGTTGGAAGACATACACGCATTATTAAATATTTACCCTCGCACAAGAGGATCCTAATAAATGTCCTAATACTAATTATTACAACATCAAATGGATTAATTAACTAATCGTACCTAGCTAATTATTACAAATCCAACTAAGTATGACAAGTTTGAAGGAATCTAATTAATTAAATTACAACATATTACTACTAAAGCATTTAAACTAAAGGGATGAAAAGTGAGGGAATGCACGTGCATGAATTCGAATTTTCGCCCGAAAACCTCTTTGTTTTATTAGTGGAACCATTTTGTTTTGTAGTAAAAAAAAAAAAGATCTATTTTAGCTCTAGCCTTTGCTCTGTTTTTCCAAAAAGAGCACATTACTGGTCTGAAAAAAGCAGTCGGCCGGCCAAGAGAAGGTGGTTAGCCATTTGATTGGTGGCCGGCCGGCCATTGTTTTGAGGGTCTGCCCTGTTGCAACAGAAAATAGACAGAGTACAAATAGAGTGTTTCCAAGAGGTGTTTGTCCATTCTGTCTCTCCTTATCATTAAACAGATCATAGGAGGGGTAGAATCGATTCGTAAACCATCAATACGCAAGGTTATCACGTGATGATCAATGAGTCGATGGGACAAAGTTTAATAAATGAAAAAGCAAAGACCAACAAAAATCTCCTCCCTATCATGGAATTGATCAAAAGAAGTGGTAGACCTTGAATCTTGAACCATTATAATCACTAGAGAGTATGAAATGACTCAAGACTCATTGGGTTCAATTAACGTCCGATTGAACCCAACTTGATTTTATTCTTGCTCCATTTTTTAGTCCAATTTTATAGCCTCTTTTACTTACGTTTCTATTCATTAGTGATTTTAGTCCAAAAATGAGAACTAAGTCCATTAAAGGAGAGAAGTGTCAAACAAGAAGTTATTTTGGGCATGAAAGAGAGGTAATTCCCTGGTAATGAACCTCCGAAGAGATTAAACCATTTAGCATTGAAGGGTCTCTTTCTCAAGCTTAAACAACACTCAGTTGAAACAACTCTAAAAAAAGTAAAAATAAAATAAAAACCAAGAAAGGAGGGAGAGTGCAGAGGTGATTAGAGGTGAACACAAGTATTAAAAAGCATGAAATAAATGCTATCAACTCAAATAGGTTTGTGTCTAAGGCCTAAAACACCAAACCTATGAGGACCATTACACTACAAGCCTACTATACAAAGCATGAATGAAACAAAAACATAAAAATAGTCCTAAAATAAGCTAAAATAGTGCTGGAATTAACATGGAAAAGATAAAAAAAGGTAGCTAAAATAATGGTGAAATGAAGCTAGTGAACATGCCAAAGGAGGGGTGGCTAATCCCTCGATTTTTGGGACTTCAAAACAACATTTTTAGCCTCTAAAAGACTTTGAAAATTAGTGTAAAAAGTTGGAAAAAATTTGAGAAAGAGATAGGAAACACAAGGGCAAAAGCTTGGAAAAACAAGGTTTAAAGAAGGGTAGTTAACCCCTCTACGTTAGATAGCTTTAAACTACAAGTTTCAGCCCATAAAATAGTATAAAAACAGTTCAAAAACAACAAGAAAAGATAGGAGAGAAATAGTGTAGAGATGCTCAAAATTATACCTCTTGAAGCAAGGTAACTCATTTGTTAACAAACCCGCAAGTTATCACTCTCAAGGGCTGAGATTTGAGCTCAAGAACCTTAGCAAGAAGAGCTAAATTTTTTGTTTAGGAAGTGTAGAGAGAGAGTGTGTAGGTTGCAAGATAGAGAGAGAGTGTTCTACAAGTTTTTGGCCTTTACGAATTTTTCTAACCTTGATTTCAAGAGAGGTGGTCGTGCATATATAGAAAAACATGAGCCTCTGTCGAACACGGCTGTATAGAGAAAGTTGGTGTAATGCATGCACCTGGGGGGGACAACTGGCAACAAAATATCTGCCAGCCAGAAAACATGGCCGATCGACTGCTAAATTCTGGCCTGACGGCCACCTATTGGCCTACAGGCCTCTGGATGGTCAGGTATGAAACAAACAGGTTTTTGAAACCCAAGACAGGTTTGGTGCAAAGATTATGCACAATTCTAGGCTCTAGAGTTGGAAAACTGAAGCTCTTGCTGAGAAATTTGAGCTTACACACAACGTAACATTCCATTATCGAATGACCAACCTGAGGTGACAAAGTCTTAAGGGCGGTAAAAAATGGGATGTCTACAATGTTCAAAATAAAACTCAAGATGGTGCCATGCTGATAAAATCCCTAAATTAAATGGGTGTACTTAAAAAGAAAAGCCTCAATTTCTTGCCCTCATCGGTTTTCATTTATCCCAATTTTAGTGCTCAGTTTTACAAAACCATCATTGAATTGAAAAAAATACTTTAAACTCTTTCTTCCTATAGTGAGCTCACTTGTAACTACCTTAATGGTACAATCCCTCCATAATGGGGTTCCCTACAACAAATGGTGCATATGTATGTCTCTTTCTCCCTCTCTACATATTTATATAGAGGTTCTGTACACCCAAATTGGAGTGCATGAAATTTCCATGCTTTAAAATTTTCACGTGGGTTGAAAATTGAAAATGGTTATTTTAGATTCAATAGGTAGTTTTACAAAAAAATAAAAAAAAAATAAAAAAAAAAATTGTGTTTCAATTCTTAGTTACAAAAAGATAATTTGAGAATAAAATTTTGTGACGCAGAAGTGTCAAACACCAACTTAGCCCTTTACATATATAATAGAATAGATATACAGACCTATAGAAATGATTGAATTTAGCAGTTGCAGTGGCAGTTAGAGAAGTTTGGGACATCAAAAACTGTGATATTCACGCCAATTCCAGTGTTTGATTTATATATATTATTTTTCCGTACAAGCGATGTGTGTGCAACTCAAGAAAAAACAATAGCATAAGAATAATGACAAACCAAAATGCATACATAGTATGTGTTGCTCAAGTGGTCAGGATTTTCTTTGCCAAATCCATGCTCTTGGTTTCCAAGTCCCATCCTTCACTTAATTATAATTTTTCATAAATATCAACTATAGGGGTATTTTGAAAACTCAAAATGTGAGACGTCTTATGTCAACACCATCTCACGGCTTCACATGTATAATAGTATAGAGTATAGATAGATAGCTAGAAGATTAGTATAGATATGCCATCTTGGAGATTTTATTATTCTTAGTTCCTTATGGCTAATGATGTCACTGCAATTCCCTCATTGGAAACCGATTAACAGGTTCAATCCCGAAAGAAATCGGAAACATTAGCACACTTCAACATCTGTAAAATCACTACTACCCTATTCTTTCCTATATATGCATATGATTTTTGTTTTGTTTTTTTAATCACTTTTTTGTCGTTAAGGGTTTGAATATTGATGTTTTTAGTATCCTGGAGTTTAATCAGCTATCAGGAACCCTTCCTCCAGAGCTTGGGAATCTTTCTCAGATAAATAGAATGTAAGACCCCTTTTTTGTTTAATCATTTATGAGTTCCATGAATAGAAACAGTCCCTCTGGATGTAGGAATAAGATTGCGTACATTTAACCCTTCTCGGATCCTATAGAGACTAGAGTCCCTTACACTAGGTTAACTTTTTTCATTTACAAGTTCCATGTCTTTTGGAATATATAATTATGTTAAAGTTTTGGTTAGTCGATCAAAGAAGGATAGTTTTGTGCTTGAATCATGTTGCATTCCTAATAATATACAATTTTGGTCAAGTGGAAGGCTTATTTGCTAGATCTAAACATTTTTATATCCACCTCCCTCTAACAACTTAAGCTTTTAGAGAAAATGTACCTTGGCACTGAAGTTTAAGGTCAATTGATTTATTAGTTGAGTTCATTTTATTGTTGAAGACATTTGACATCAAACTATTTTACAGGGGACCTTCCGGGAACACTTGTAGAGCTGATCACTTTGACGGAATTGAAAGTTTCTTTTCTTTTTTTGGGTGATTTCATTATTATTAAAATTAGTTACCCTTTTTCCATTTTTAGTGAATTATCAATTAATTAGTTTGAATAATGCAGTCTAGTCAGTGGAAACCAATTTACTAGAAAGATACCCAATTTCATCCAAAAATGGACAAATCTCAAGAAATTGTGAGAGCTTGACTTGTTTTTGTCACAACCTAAACCCGCCCCTATAGGTTTAGCATCGTAATCGGCCAGTAATCCAGGGATTACCCAAGGCCTCTAAATAGATTAACTCATAATAAGGGGTTGCGGAAGCAGATAAATTCTTAATCATGGTTCCAAGTTAATCACATGTCGAGATTATTACAGTTTTGTTATACTCAGTTGTTGTTGAATTTTATAATATACTTTTTAGCATTTACATTTCAATTTCTATTGTGCAGAGGGATTCAGGCTAGTGGTTTAGATGGCCCAATTCCTTAAGAGATTGCTTCTTTGACAAAAATGACTGACTTGTCAGTATAACCTTCTAATTCCATGGCTTTTAACTATTTCACAATAGTGTATGATTAATTTTGTTCTTTTCTTGTAGGAGAATTAGTGATTTAAATGGAATGGAAGCAACTTTTCCACATCTTAATAATATGACAAACATGAATAGATTGTAAGTTGAGTTGATTGCTTCTGTAGTACTATCTTTTAATGAATATATGAATGTGTTACTTGCTGACTTAAAGTGGCACATATTTAATTGTGTCACAAGATATTGAGGAGTTGTAATATTACTAGATCCTTACCTGACTATCTTGCAAATTTGACAAAGTTGACAACCTTGTTAGTAGATTTATATCTCTTTCCCCTTGTCTAGTTGCATTTAAATTGATAACTTTCTACTTAAAGGTTTTCCCATATTGATGTGACAAATCAATTTAATCATTAAATATTGCTGAAGGACGTCACAACGTGTTGATAGATGGTGTACATCATTTTCTGTTGGTGGACAATGTTCTTACAAATGACTAGGCGAAACAATGGAGGCAATTGATGTGTTCCGATCATTTGAACATGACTATAAACACTTCCTAGTTGGAAGAGTTAGAATTTAAGTCATTTTAAAAGCTTTTCTTACTCAAGGAATGGAGATACAAATCAAGCTACGTTTAACACAGAAAAGGTGCCGGAAGCCTCAAACCACAATTCTCTTAGTGGAATAAGCGTGTGAACATGCAGAACTATGTGTTTTGTAGAAAGAATACAAGTAATTGTGTAACGACCCCAAAATCCGTATCATAAATTGCCTTTATGCTCTTGTGGGTTAATGTATTTTAATTTAATGATATTTGTTTGAATTGCAGAATTATTTGTTGAATCACGGTTTTAAAATTGAAAGTACCGACCTTTATGGGTTCAAAAATTAAAATTGAGTATTTGGATATGTTAATGGGAATTTTTAGAACTAATTGAGAAAATTAATTGGAAAGTTAATTCGTCTGACTCGTTAATGTACGTTTGGGTGGTTAACTTTGTACTTTAAATTGAAGGCCTTAGAGGCTTCAGAAATCAAAATAGAGGACATATTTATGATCAGCATAATTTTTAGAGTCATCTGAGAAGTTTAATTGAAATTTGATTTTGTGCAATTCGTAAGGGCGTGTTTGGCCCTCCTTATTGTGAAAAGCTTAAGTGTGTGGTATATACATATATAGATAGGCCATGTGAGTTGGGAGCTTATCATTTTGAAGGCAAACAAAATATCTAAGGGAGAGAGAGAGAGATAGAGAGAGAGAGAGAGAGGGGGAAGGAGAGACAAATTCTCTAAGTGAAGTTCAACATTCATGGTGGCTTTAAAGATGATTGAAGAGTATTGAAGAGAGGGAAAGAAGATCATCCATGGAAGCTTGGAAAATTTAAGAGATTAAAGGGAAAAATAAGGAATTGAGTTAAGGTATGTGGCTTCAACTATTATCTTTGTAAATAATTCATCTACTACATGAAGTCCAGGATTAACTTGGAAAATTACTATGTAAATGAACAAGTGTGTTGGGTTATGAATGTGTAGACGCGCCCGAATCGGGCTTGCTACTACAGTTCGGACTCAATTGTCACGGTTCTGAATCTAATCTCGCAAAGTGCAATGCAAGACCGATAAATCACCAAAGAGTCCAAATCTAGCAAATTGTTTTGGAAAATTGATTTTTGTAAAGAAGTGCCAAAGATGAACTGCTTTGCCAGATACAGAGTCGCCACCTAAATATTTTGTTTTGGGGGAAATTTAGGAAACCCTGACTCGTGCCTAAGGCCACATGTCCGTCATCACCAAAGTTGCCTCGGCTCGGGAACTTGGGTACGAGAGGGTAAGGTCATGCAATGATCACCCCTGCTCAAAGATCGGCCTGTACTAAGCATGATATATTGTTTTGAAAACATATGTGCCCTTATTCCGGTTTATTAGCTAGAATTACTATGTGATGCGCACAACACACAAGTATAGACTAGATCGCCTAACTTGGAACAAAGCATTACATATCCGTTTGTTTCGAAATAGTTTGAAGTTTGCTACTTGCATGTAGGCTAAATTCGGGATTCAATGAATTGTTCCAATTCAAGTAATTCAACCTTCACCTACAGGCATTCAGCCAGTTAATCACTTAAGCAGTTAGCCTCATGGCAAGCATGCTATCATGGCAACACTCAAACTCATGCAAGGATGCTAAAGTATAAACACTTACAGTGTACTCCGAGCAAAAAAAAAGAACTAGTTAGAAATCAATGCATGATCCTAGTTCATGTTGAGATGGCTAATGCAACACATGCGAAAAATGTATCTAAAATAGGCTCGGCTAGTCTAGAATGTCATGTGAAATGGAACTTGATAACATGCTGTTTGAACACGTATTCAAGTAATGTATTGAAATTACAATGCGGTTAGTATGATGCACCGAGCCTGGTGCATGCAATACAGATGAATGATGCACGCATGCAAAACATAAGGTATGCTAATTGAAAACGCGCCCTAAAACTAACCATCATAAGCGGTTAAATAAAAGGGAGAAAGAAATGGAGGTTGGAAGACATTCACACACTCACGCACACTTATTACAACATATGCCCTCTCGATAGAGGGTCCGAATAAATAATACAAATCAACTAACTAACTAACTACGTACCAAGCTAATTAATTAATTATTACACACCCAAATTGAATAATAAGCAATCTACTTACTAATTATTACAACACTTAATTAATTAACAAATTAACTAATTAAATTACAAATTCGAATGCTAATTAACAAATAAAGCATTTAAAGTATGTTGTTCCAGCTCTAGTTGAAGGAGGAGAGTATGCATGCTTGGTTCCCATTCCGAAAGCTCTCCAAATGCTCTCTAGAGGCTCTGTCTGCAGGGTGTCCTTGAGACCTAGCTGCTTGATCTTATCAAAACAGTGCTGAGGAGTGCACTAGTGCCTGCCGACCATGAGAAGCCTCTGCCGGCCAAGAGTGTACATTGCCGACCAAGAATAAAGGGCTGCCGGCCAAGAATAGGAGGGTGCCGGCCACTGATGTGCTGGGACACCAAATTGCAACAGAGCACAAAACAGAGGAAAGGGAGGGTCTCCTAAGGATATGTACGCACTATGCCACCCCATATCACCTCAAAACATTAAGGGAGAAGCACAATCGGATCCAAGACCATCAATCGCGCATTTCGATGCATGATGGCCAAAGATCCGACTTGTGCAAATCAATGTAAAATGAATGCACAAGAAACAAAAAAATGCCTAGAACTCTATCATGCATGATCAAGAGCGGTCAAGAGCTTCGATGACCGAGAATTGAGGCACATTTCATCACTTGAAGTATGAAACGTCCCTCTTTTCTCGTGCTCGGATTAATACTTAATCCAAACTACAATGCAACACAAGCATGGCAAACATGCAAACATATAACTACATGGCATACTCAATGCAATGTAATATGATTAACTTAACAAAGCTAATGGCATGCACAATGCTAATGCTTACAACAACTAGCATACTCAATGCGAATGTCAATTAGCATGCTCAATGCAATGATGGCATACTCAATGCAATATACATAACATACATAATGGACTTAAACCAAAAGAGTAGACCTCAGTCATGCTCCAAATCAGTGGCCATTAGTGTTGAAAAGATGGTATGAAAAGCATGAAAATGCAAGGCAAACATGCATGCCAATTGGCTAAAGGATCAAAGCATAAAGATGTGACTCTTAATCACACTTAAAGAGTGACAAGCATGGATATATGACAGCACCAGAAGTTCTGAAAACATGCATGGAATGGTGCCAAACCACCCTAACAAAACAGACAAAGCATGCAAGAAAGCTCAAAGCTCGAAATTAGCAAAGGGACTTAAGCCATGGCTATGTAAAACAAGCCCCAAAGGGGCAAGGGCATCAAAAATAGTCCCAAGACAGGTCAAGGTGAGTCTAGAAACATGCTTGAACCTAGCCATTACAAGCTAGAACAAAGGGGCAAAACATGAAGCATGCAAGGCTACAAAAGGGGTGTTATACTACACCTAGTAAAACAAAACATGGCATGACTTAGGCAGCATGAAACAGAGTTACATCATGTCAAAATAAGCCCAAAACCTACTGAGATGGCATCGCAAAGACCTAAGCATAGAGGCATGCACAATGATTCATTCATACGGCATAAAACACCAACTCTTCAAGGCATTGAAAGCATGACAAAGGCAAGTGTTTGACCATGAAATATGCACTTATATAACACTTCGAATGATGCCAAAGCATGCAAACATCACAAGTATAGCATGGTAGGGGCCTTAAAGCTCAAGACTAGTCAAAGCATTTGCACTATAGTTATACAAAACATGAGTGATATGACCATGACAGCCTAAAACAGTCCTAGAACAGCCCAAAATATGAATAAAAGCACGCTGGAGCATAACCAAAATATGCTAGAATGATGAGCCAAAACAACATGCATATAAGGCTAGTAAGCAAGATTTGTTCTACAAGTGCATGAGCCACTCAAGAGACAGCCAAAATAGCTTTATACAGAGTTGTGACATGTCAAATGATGATAAAAAAACCCACTGAAATAGAGCCAACACATGCTAGCAAGACATGCTACTTTGATGAGCCACAAATGGGATTAAACTACGCATACAAGAAACAGGCATAAGGTGGCCAAACCAGCCATGGACAGAGTTAAGGCAGGTCCTAAAAGTCACAAAAAGGTGCCAGAACTAAGCCTCAAAAGTAAAGGGATACATGCTCCTTTGATAGGCCAAAAACTCAAGCAAACAAAACCAAAAGAGGGGGTCACCCCCCCTCTGGTTTTAGGCCTCAAAACCACATGCCTACCACTGAAAGCCCACTAGATTTCAGTGGCCAAAAGGCCAAACAAGGACTGACTCAAAGGCCTTAAAGCAAGGTACAAAACAAGGCCAAACAAGGCATACAAGAGGGTAGAACACCCTAAACACCAAAGAGGCCTTAAACAAACATCAAAAGCACTTAAATACAGAACTTTTTTCAGTTGAAAGCAAGGCCTAAAACAATATGCAAGGATGGCCAAAATGAGATACAAATAAATGCTAAAAAGGGGAATATACTCACCCTTGAAGATCAACTTCGAAACCAGCAACCTCTGAGGCCAAAAACCA